AGGGAATAGCAAAACCACTTGTAACGCTAGTGTTTGCCCCAAAAGATTACAGATGGCTCCTTGATTTTTTTATACCAGTGAACCTTTGAAGGCTTGAAGTCTTTCTCTTTTTTTTAGCAAATCAGCAATGCTAAATTTCTCATTCCTTCCACATCCTGTGTATGACACCTTTCCAAGTCAACTTCCTTTTTCACTAGCTACACTTGAACAACTCAGTGCCACAAAAATAGATATTCTTCCCTGAATATTGTGCTCCTTCCAGCTCCTCTCTAGCATACTAGAGTGCCAGGGGAGATGCAGTGATGTTATGGTCTGGAAAGAGTCCAAGCATCAGTTTGTAAAAGATGATTTATTCTTAAAGTGGTTCTATGGCAACTGGAAACCTAAATCAAATTATAGTATGCTACATTGGTTTTTTCTCAATTACTAGCCAGAAAAGCAATGCTGTCCCCAGAAGAGGACACAATATTGCAGGTGCCAGCACGTGGCATCCAGGGGCACAGTAAGCCATTCCCCGTCTGCTCTCAAGACTCACCTTTACCAAGCAGCAGCACTTCGCTTCCAGGCTGACTGGGAACAATGGGGCCACTGACAGATGAGGAGATGCAGTCAAGCCACTGAAACTGTGTCCTGGAAGTAAAGAGCGGGAGCAGAGACTCGAATTGCTGGCAGAAGACAACACATATTAGAAGTTTTGATGCTCTTTTCCCCTAAGCCATTTGTCTCAGGCTTTTTGTCCTTAGCAAAACAAAGAGACCTCAAAGGGACTTGCAAGTATTTTTCTCACTGTTACTTTCACGCATGTTGACTCAGTGTAACAAAACAGGCAGAAAACCAGCATGGGCATTATCAAACAAAGCTAGATCTAGGTATCTTCACAGCCTTCATCTAATGCAGAAAGGCAGAAGACCTCCTGAGCCATGCATAGTCACTGGGAAACACATGCTCCCACCAGACAGGCAGTTAGGAAGACTGCTTTGGGGACCATCATGGGCATTACCAAACAAAGCTAGATCTAGCCATAGGTATCTTCACAGCCTTCATCTAATGCAGAAAGGCAGAAGACCTCCTGAGCCATGCATAGTCACTGGGAAACACATGCTCCCACCAGACAGGCATTTAGGAAGACTGCTTTGGGGACCATCAGGAAGCAACTGCTGTGTTTGCACTCACTGACAAAACATATCCTGGTTGATGACTATCATGCTTTACCTGCTCCCTTTCTGGAGGCAGCAGCTTCAGTGGCTGTGATCAAAAGCCCTAGGAACTGCAAAACACTTGCTACTTGCTTTATTGCCCTTTGCTTTGTATTCCAAAGCTTAGCAGTTGTCTACCTAATGCAAAAATCAGCCCTGTTGCTAATTCCCTATGAGACACGAAAAATTATTGTGCGGGGCAAACATCCGTATTTGCTCGAACGTATCATGAAAAGAACACCTGTAAGCGCAGCTCTGTTTATCTGACATAATATAACCCAGAATCAAAGGAAACGGCAGATAACTGAACACCCCTTTGTATATTTATGATGCAGTGTAATTTAGCTACATCTTTTGTTTGAATATGATCTTTGCTCCAAAATCAGCAAGCCTTTGTTGTGCAAGGGGAGGCCTATGGAGGAGATCTGTGCTGCTAGGGAAAGGTCATTGCTCCTCAGAGGCAAGATGCTGGGCTGTTTACTAAGGCAGACAGGCCCTGCACACATCAAATGATAGGAAACCAGTGTGTACAGTGATAAAAACCACACGGTCTGGGCTTCTGAGTTCCCACCAGCGGTAGGGCAGAAGGGCTTGGTCCTAGGCTTTAGTGAGGGTCTGATTTTTTTCCTTTGGCTCATCCACTGCACAGGCATGAACCAGCAGTTACCCTCTGCATGATAAAAGGATTACCCTCTTTTCTCAGGTGGGGAAACTGATAGGCACACAGATGAAGCACTATGCCCAGCAGCACTCGAAGCCCATGTTCAGATCATTCAGCAGACTTGGTGTCAGCAAACCCATGAGGTGCTCTGCCCAGAGAAAGCTTTGCTTTTATTATTAATTTTTATTACTTCAGCTGCTGTACTACAGATTGGGCCCAGAAAGGAGATACACTAAAGCCAAAGTACAGTCAAAGGGCACCACAGGTCCTCATTGCAGGACCAGATCATTATTTTGACCTGGATCCTTACATTTAGTCCCCCAACGCAGCCTTTTAACTGAACAACACTCCTGGGTTACGCAGGCAGTGAAGCAACACAGCTCTCTGGAGTAGCCCCAGCCAGTATTTCCGCCTGGTCATGTGCAAGGCAGGCTGAGACCAAGCTTATCGGCAGCTGAATATGCTGTGGGCTCAAGTGATGCTAAACAGACACACTGATGTGTTTTAGAAGATCCAGCTACCCCAGTTCCATAGCACTGAAAGGAAGTAATGCAGGGAGGAAATGAGCTAATGGGCTTCAATTAAGCCAAGCCATTCATCACCTGATAAGGAGCCAGGAGGCAAGGGAAACGTAGGGTCTCTGCAAGTATGTGGGTGCCTGCTATGATGAAGGCCAAAGAGGGGCTGCTGCAGAGACTCTTGCAATTGAATTAAGGCAGGTAAAGCCCTAGCAGCTAATGTCAGCTCTGTGGCTATCCATCATACATGTGTGCAAGAGGACCTACTGCTTGTGACACACAGTCAGAGAGTTTCAGTGGCTGTTGAACAGACAGCATCAAAGATTAATTTAGATGCACTGGTACTTTGAAATACTCCATACTAGAAGCTGGCAGCTGTGCCCAGGGATCTTCCTATCCTTCCAGCAAAGCATCCCAGCAGCCCTTTGACCTGCAGGAAGCATCTGTCCTACCTGCACCTCCTAACTCCACTTTTTCCTCAGTATTAGGGGTGCCAGATGACAGTACTAGACTACTTCCCAGCAGGGTGTTAAGACTGGCATATAAACACTAGTGCAGAGGCCTGTACCATTATTTTCAGAGAGATTCCTCCTCAGTGAATGCAGATGCAAGCTGGCTGCAGGATAGATGGCCATGGGCAGGCGGAGGAGGTGGTGAGGAAAAGCCCTGAAGCAGGAGAAGGCATTACTAAAGTGACATGGATGCCGAGACATGGGCGTCTGCTGAGACCAGATTTGCATGTGGAGGCTTTAGCTTCGCAGGGCAGTGTGCATTACCAGCTATGATCCTCACTGAGGTCTACAGCCAAAAATGGCCCAGCTGGAGACAGGTGCAAGCCCCAGCCCTGACCCTGCAGCGTGAACACTCTGATCTGTCCGCAAGCCAAAGGGCTCCTTCCTGACACCTCCTATCACTCCTGCAGCCTGTGTGACTTGTGTGGGCTCAGAGCTCATTTTCATGATAGAGCAGGGAGCAGCTGCAAACCTCTCTCAGCAGAAAAGGAAGTCCTAGCACTGGCAAATTTAATTCAAATTTAAACCTCTAAATTTGGTTGCTTGCTATGGCAGGAACCTCCTGTTTGCACTATGCAAACTGAAAATAGCAGACCACTATCACTGGCCAGGACAACAGCACAGCTGAAGTAAATGCAGCCATGGGCACTGTATTTCTGCTCTATGGTTTTGGAGGTCCAGAGACAGAACTCAGTGAAACTCTATGTATGAGCTCTGCTCCAGAGGAGCACGTGCCTTTGCCACAGTGCTTCGTAGGTATTAGCCACCATGAGCACCAGGGTCACTCAGGGCTCGTTCTCCCTTACCTAGAGACCAAGAGGAGATTATTATCATCAGTATCGCTGTAGCACCCAAATAGGAGCTAGAAACAACTGCCTTCTACATGCAGCCTGCTTGTTCTGCTAGGAGGGGCCAGCTAAAGCTGCTCCATAGCAGGTAGATGCAGCACAAGAGAGCTGGGCTAGGACACGGGCAGTGCAGAACCCGCCTGTTTTGACCAGCCAAGGGCTTAGATACCAGTTTATTGAGACCTGTTTTGTGCCAATGACTGCTCATCATTATGCCTGCATTGAGGGACCCTGCAGTACATGAGAAAGAAGCCAGTTATCTTGATATTTCTACTGTTGTCAACTCTACACAAGACCTTCAAAATCTCTTCTTAGCCTACATCTGTTAATACCTTAGAAGCCCCAGGCTTGAAATCTTGTGGTTAAGCTCTTCATACTGATAGCATAAAGGCTCAAGCAGCACATTTGAATTATGCCAACACCTTCCCAAACTACCCCTTAAAGAGCTGCCTTGCTTTGAAAAAACATTTTTTAACCTATCTTTATCTTTTGCAGGGCAGTGCCAGCACACCACAGTCACCATTTGTCCAAATGCCAGGTGAGGTTTTCCTCCACCGATAAATACCTTCCACGCAGGTTGGAGAGTCGACACAGCTCCTGTCTCTTCTCCTCCAAAGGACATGAAGTGAGCAAAGAAGCGCTGGAGCAGAGCCACAGCTCACAGAGAGACCAGGAGGAAAGTAATTGAAAGAGTCAAAACAGGAACAGCAATAATAAAAGAAAGGCCCCTGTAATCTTGTATGAAATTCCCAAAGAGGGGAAAGAGAGGTAATTAAAGCAGTTCCCACCTCTTCTGATAGAGATGCCACACAGAATCCCTTCTTTTCCCTCTGTCTTCCAGTTTTCCCTGGAGCTGAAGAGAAGAAGTACAAAACCAGGAGCTGATCTGTTTTGTTCTTTGAGCATGGAAAGGGGAATGAGGCTGGAACCCCTTCCTCCTCCCTAAGGGCTGTAGCAGAGCAAAGAAGCAGCAAAGGCTGGCAAAATTAACCTCAGTCCCCCTGACCCCATACTTGAAGCTTCCCAAAACACATTTAGTTTGCTGCAGATGAAGGTCATCAGCTGGATCAGGGCAGTCTGAGGTGCTAAAAGCACTTGGGCTGACACACCTGCTTCAAGACAGGATTGACTCCTGTCCTGGGTCATGCTAGAGAGAAAAGGGCTCTACTTTGCACCTGCAGAAGTGCCCATAGCTCTGTCGCTTCCAAGGTGTTACTGTTTCACTTTAGCCAGCCTTTTTTCTGACCATCACAGGCTCACCTACCATGACTGGTTACTACGGCGTCAGGAGATCCTTCACAACTGAGTTGGATTTCCACAACACAAAGCAGTTGGTCAGTGATGTCTACTCATCCCCTCTAGGGTCCAAGCCCTTCTCATGCGATTCCTCTGCTACTCAGGGCTACCCAGCACTTCTGGACCCATATCGCATCGACCAATATGGGGATTACCGAGCTACTCCCCTCACAGCTGCTACCAGCTCCTTCTTCAGCCCTTCTTCTGTGCCCCCTCTCCTGCCATCCTTCCCTCATGACACAGCGCACTTCCTACTAGTGAGTGAGTCTATGGTTCTCAGTCACCCAATGAAGGATTGCTCAATTTAAAGCTGGGGTTAAGTCAGGGGGGACTCGTGGGAAGGATGTGGCTGTTACAGGAGGCAGTCACAGTGGAGCACGCAGCAGATGGGGCAGGGCTGAGGGGGGAAGTTTTTTCTCTTTGATCCCATCCTCCATCTAATTGGCCCCTCTTCCTGTTGGAGACCAGCTCCTAAATTAACAGCCTTCTGTGCTCCCCAGAACAACTACTCCATTAAGCTCCTTAAGTTTCTAGAAACATCCTTTCTTGGCTCCAGGCTGTGCCTGTCCCCAACCCTGCGGCTCCCCACGAGCCAGCTCCATTCACACCCCCAGGGCAGAGCTCCTGGGCCCTGCAGGGCCAGGGCTGGTCAGTCCCACCGGGAGCCCATTCCAGGCCTTGCCCGCTATTGACAGCATGGATGTTTCCTTTCAACGGTTTTAACACCAAATACCGTTCCAGAGCAACAGAAACCCTTGTGAGTGTTCGCAGCTAGGCTCTGGGGATAGCTTGGCTGCATGAAACCAGGCTAGATATGCCATTACCTCCAGGACAAGCTTTTATTCTTAAAGGTCTTTCTTGCCTCCTCTCCCCGCTTCCATGCAGAGAGAGCCCTGGGAGCAGACCTCACCCGACAGTCTCAGCCAGTCGGACGGTGCGTGCTCAGACCTTCTGCAAGCACTGCCTGCCAGCGCCAGCTGCCTCTCCTCACATGAGTCTGGAGGCGCTTCCCCATACCGAAGCTCAGGTTGGACCCCAGCCATCCCCGGAGCGCAGCCCTACCCTCTGCATCCTCTTGAAGATGCCCACTACTCCCCCAGCTATGCTGCAACCTCACCCTACTCCTCCTCACCATTCATGACTCTGGCAAACGAGCTTACCTCCAGGATGAGCCACCTCTCGCCAGAGCAGTCCTTGGAGGCACCACCCCTTCATGATAACTCTGCCTGGGCAAAAGAGGATGGAAGTCCCATCTGGGGGACTTATGAGGGCCAGAGACCTTATTGATGAGAGATAAGAGCTGGAGGAAAAGAAAAACGGATCAATGTTGAAGCATATTAATTACTTGTATGCTTTTTCCTAAAGTTGGTTCTTCAAACAGAGGATGCTAACAACATGCAATGTTTTATGCTCTGTTTAGAAATACAGTCACTTGGATATACCACATTTAGCTTACAGTAGTGCCTTCTAGTGCCTTATGAAAGTCATTGCTCACAGTCCTGCTGTGCTACAAGTAAAATACACAGCCTGAAAAGTATCTGCACTCTATGGACCTTTCTATGGATCTGCACTCTATGGATCCTTGAACAAGGATCTCAGGTACTTCTTTTCAGATGCTGAGAAAACAAGTTGCTCTGAACCTTAAACTACAACTACAGAGCACTGTTACCAGAAGAGGTTTGGGAAGGCTAGGGAGCAAGGCAGGGGCTGTGGGAAGCCCTCCTTAATGGCACAGAGTCTGTATAATGCTATCTGGTTACCTAGCAGCATAAAAGTACATCCATAACGCTCGCATGTAGTGAACATGGCATTTTCTTGGGCAACAGTTATGGCCAGAGTAGCTAAGGCATGGCACGTTTGAGCCTACAGCACAGAAGGGTGCAACCAAATAAAGCTCACCATATTACACCAGGGCCTGGCAAGGGACAGTCGGTGCACCATCCTGTCTGCTGATCTGCACATGAGAAACCCTCCCATCTCTTCCACCTGCAATGCACAAAACACATCCTCCCCAATTTCCCTCTTGCCCTGAAGAAAACACAGAGCTGTTCCCCCTCTTGCCCACGCCAGGTCAATACAAGCCTTGTGTCAGTGGGCATAAGGCAGACTGCTCCCAGCCCCTTGCCAAGAGGCACCCACCTGGGGCTGTAATTGGGAACAAGGCTGATTTGAAGCCCCATGCCAGGCCGGGGCCCACGGCCACTAGAGGTAGCTCGGCACACACAGACACAAGTCCTGTGCAGCCCTCACAGTCGCTCCTGCCTGCTGCGTCCATACCCGGCAGAGGCTACCCCATTGCCCCATCTCGTCCCCCGGCCTGGGACTCAGGAGGAGCAACAAAAGCCTCACTGAGGAAGAACAGGAGCAGGGCCTGAGAGTGTGTCGTAATGAGATGCTTTAAGGCCCTCCTTGCCTTTCCTCCTCAAATCCTGAGGCTGATGGGGTGTTTCGAGCCTTCTCAGCACCCTCCAGGGATCATAAATGGCACCGGGGTCACAGGATCAGGCCCAGAGCATCGCTTCATGCCATGCTGCCTGCAGACACCTCTCGGGGGCGGAACATGGACTGGGGACACCGCACTGCACCTAGAAACAGGCAGCAATATCAGGCCTCTGTAAGCAACACTGCAGAGAGCTGCCGAGTGGGCCAGGCCCTTTCTTTTACAGGCATACCACTTAGCACCATCCCTGGCACCCCTCATCCTGCAGCCCAGGAACGTCCCTGCACCCCGGTGCGCGTGCAGCAACCACACAAGCCCCTTGCTCAGCCCACCCCTGGCAGACACCACCTCCCTGGCTGTTCAGGCACCCGCAAACCATCCAGGGTGTGTTCTGGCACCCAAGGATGGAGCGAGTGCTCCCAGGCACCTCGGCAGCTGCCCCAGCACGGAGCTCTCACCCCGACCCCTC